TGTGACCCAACCATAAAATTATTTTCGTTGCTACTTCATAACTGTAATGTTGCTACTGTTATGAATCGTAATGTAAATATTTGATATGCAGGATGGTCTTAGGAGACCCCTGTGAAAGGGTTGTTCGATCGCCAAAGGGGTCGCGACCCACAGGTTGAGAACCGCTGGTCTAGGGGAACTTTGCAAGAGGGAAAGGAATAAATGAGTCCAGAGTTCAGTTTTCCTCCTTAAGTGACAAGGATCAGAGACTCCACTGATACCCACTTTCACTTCACCTCACACCTGATTTATTCTAAATAACCATAAATGGCTTCCCCAAACCCCCTTTCCCCGGATACCATCCAACTTGTACCCTGTTCTCATATTAGCCTTCCAGAGCACTTTGCTCCTATGCCCAACAAAGCTTTCACTATTTCATAATGTCGACACGATAAAGTTCAAACAACGTAGGCTGTTATTCGAGGGTCCATAGGCTGGCATCTGGGAAGGAGGGGGCTAGGTTAGAGGATGATGGAAGTGAAACTCACAGATACCAATAGGTACTGCTCTCTAGCTTTAATAAGCCTGAAAGGGTAGTGGTATTATTTCCCTTCCTCATGGCACAGACCAAGGAGGTGACAGTGGTTGGTCAGCAGCACCAGGTTGGAACAAAAGGGCTCCCAGAAATTTATCTTCCCCCCTGGAAAGGCCCCATTATCACCCAGAAAAAACACCTGCTACCTTGTAAGACCTCTCAACCAGCCATGCCACTTAAAACCAGCATCCATGCCTAAGGTTTGAGTTCTGGGTCCCACCATCCTTGCTGCATAATATTCTACCACCTTTTTTATTTCTGTGCCTGCCCACAGGTTATTCATTTCCTTTCTCTAACCCTGTGTAGAGGACTAGAAGATTTTCCATTTCTCCATAGAGATGTTTTCTGAGGATAATCGTGGTCATGCTCAACCACAGAAGTCTTCTGCAATGCGTGGATTTCAGGTTTTAATTTCAGGCTCATACGCCACACTAGAAGTCTGCTACAAAACTCCCTCTACTCTACAAACCTTTGGGTCCATTCAGACCCGCTCTGTTCCCTTCACTTCCTGGTTCCTTCTCTTTTCGGTGGAAAGAGACAGGAGGGATGAAGATACCAGCTGAGGAGGGGTCGGATCACAACCCGTCAGGGAAGAAAGTAGGACAAGAGGCATCTGCTCTGTACTTCTCTCATAGCTACTACCTTTTTTTCTTGTATTTTTTTTTCTTAAATGTGTGAGACATTTTATCTCCTCAGCCAAATTCTGAGCATGCTTTAGGAAGAGAAAGAATTTATTTTAAACTATGTCTATTTCTACCTTGTCTATTTCTTTTTACTCAGGATAGCTATAGATAATTGTTGGCCATAGGCAAAGGCAAAATTCATACAGATCACCCATCCATTCATTGAGTCAAAAAACCTTTATCAACTGACCCCAATCTGCCTCATACCCCTGCTGGTTGTTGCCCATCACAGAGGACAGTTGATGCAGGTTTGGAAGGCTTACATCCCCCCTGTCTGGATACATTGCACCCTATAAAAATTCAGATTTAAAAATCATTATTATAAAAGTAATACTGGCTTGTGATAAACATTAAAACAGTATAGAAGGGTATAAAGGAAAAAGTAAAACTTCCCTAATCACCACTCCACCAAACTTCTCATTCCAATTACCCAAAAGTAACAGTTGCCAACAGCTCCTTATATGTCCTTCCAGAAATTTGCATTCTTTTTGTAGATAGGGAGGGTCATTCTATATGTATTTATCTGTCGCTACTCCCTGACCTTCACCTATACAATGTATCTTGATTTTCTTTTCAAACACCATACAATTTACCCACTTAAAGTATATAATTCAATGAGGGACCCCACCCGTGTACAAATTCATGCACCAGGCCTCTAGTTAAGTTCATAAGAAATAGGGGACATCCTTCAGAGACAGAGAAAGCAAAGAGGCAGCCCGCAGCTCAGAGGTAGAGAACATAAACACAGAAACTGGTGCTGTTCTGGGTTGGGGTCAGGGGTCTGCAGCCTGGGAGCCAGCCCCTGCCTGCCTCCTGCTGTTGTCCTCTGTGATGGGAACCAGCCAGGCTCAGTGTTCACATACTGTCTCTGGTGCCTGCCGGCCTACAACAGTCCAGTTGAGTAGTTACGACAGAGATCATATGACTCTCAAAGGCGAAAACCCTTACCTATCTAACCCTTCATAGAATAAGTTTGCTGATTCCTGTTCCTTGGGCCTAGAGATATGGGGGTAATTGGCCACTGGAGTAGCATAGGGTGAGATGCAGAAACAGAAGCCCAGGCCTTTGGTTCTGTGCACAGTGAGATGAACTGCAGATTCCCCCACACGTGAAGTGATTTTGTTCTCTGTAAAAGATGGGCTGGGGAAATCTGCCTCTCTGCACAGGGCACGCGTGAGGAAACCTGTTGGCCTGTGACCCTGCTGTGGATGGGTTCCTCTGGGCTTGACAGACACCACCTGAACTCACACTGCCCACCATGCAAGCAGCCTGCGGGCTCAGGAGCCCACTTCCAGGGGCATTTTGCAATGCTTCCAAGCTGTGCTCTAAGTGAGGTGTCACCAGCATTTCCTCCCTGTGGCTCCTGTGCATTTTTCATTCACTGTGGTAGACTCCTGTGTGGTCCAAGTCCACACCCCGGGTGACAGTTATTGTTGATGTTAATGTTCTGGTTGCAAAGTTGCGTTCTGGTTGCAAAGTTGCATATGCTGGAAGTGATCTGTCCCCAACCCCAGCTTCCTTGTTTTCTATCACTTTTAATGCACAATAGTACAGTGTGCAGGTTTTTTCATCTACCCACACACCATTGCTCCTTTTGGAAAGCCTGAATGCAGTGGAAACACCCGAATTCAGATATGTTGGGTTGAAATATCTTATTTCATTGAATAATGTGTTTGGATTTATTTTTTAGTAGAATGATTACACTAAGAACTATTTTTTTCTAAACCTATATTTAGATGGCGCTATGCCTGAAAACGGTTCTCGCTCCTGAGCGCTCTGTGTTTGCCTAGGCATTTGCTTGTAAGAATTTTGGATAGTGACTGAGTAATGAGAGGAGGGTATGGGGTTGGCCCCATTCATGTCATACTGGAGAAGAGATGGACAAGAAAGATT